GAGAAAAAGCTTCATGTATGATTCGAACTCTCTTTATAGCTCAGGTTTAGTTCAAGACCAACCGCTTTAACCACTACCGGTACGCTACGAAGAATATGCACTATTGACGTCTTTCAGTGTGATTTAAATGGACGGGTTTGTAACATTTCCATCATTTTGGCGTTCACGAAGAATGGAGACTTGGCCCATTCATTTTCAAAATTCGTTTTTTATAGCTCTATTAAACCCATTTTCCACTAAATATGCTTAACTCTCAACTTTGAAATAAATATTATCAAATGATAAGTCGTTCAGAAAAATAAAATGATAAAATATTTTGAAGATGACATTACTGAGAACATGATTTTAAAGCTTATTACTCAAAAGTAACTCTAAAAAAAATGAGTGAAAACGACTGCATATAAGATTTTTGAACAATTATAAAAAATATCAGTAATTGTAGTTATCAACGTTTATTTGAATTTCAAACCGATAATGAAACTTGAATCTATTGCTTAAAACCCTCAAAACAAATTTACAATAAGATGTACTTACAAAAAAAGCAAAGGTCTAAGAAGAGCAGAGACTTGCAAGAGCACAGGGATAGATTTATAGGCAATTTTTGATATAAATTAGTGGTCTTATTGTTCAAATTCGTATTCGGGGATGCAGTTTAATTTCTGGAGGAATCTAGAAAGCAATTTTTTGGCAAAAGGTTAATGAGAATAAGGAATCAAAAACATAAGATTTTTTACATGACAGCGTCCAAACCCGAAAGCCCTGAAGAGTAAAGGAGTCTTGGGGATAAACAAAAGTTAATGTTCATTCACGTTAACAATATTCGCCATATCTTTCGCCTTTTGACTTGTTCCATTTGCCGAACTTGAGAAAACGCCTTTCAGAAGGAAGAAACAATTCCAGGAAATCATAGAATCTGCAATAATCCAGTATCCAAAAGTTCAGACCAGAAAATGAGTTCGAAAACCAATTGAAAATGAATCAGAAATTGGATTAAAATGTTACTTATATGTGTTTTAATGAAGACATAATTTTTAGTTAAATCATTATAACTGAATTATTCAAAAGCGACTTTTGTTTCTTTCCGAGCATCGAAGACATTATTAAACGACCCTTGTGTAAGGTTACCTACCGATGTACAATATCTGGTGTCCTCTGGTCACCCTACTGATGTACAATATGAGGTAACGTCTAGTCTCCCTACTCATGTACAATATACGGTGACCTTTGGTCCCCCTACTGATGTGCAATATAAAGTGGCCTCTGATCCCCTTACTGATGTACAATACAAGGTGACATCTGGTCCCCCTTCTGATTTTAAATATAAGGTGACCCCTGGTCCCCCTGCTGATATACAATATAAAATGGCTTCTGGTCCCTCTGCTGATGTACAATATAAGGTGACCTCTGGTCCCCCTTCAGATGTTAGATATAAGGTGACATCTGGTCCCCCTTCTGGTGTTAGATATAAGGTGACCTCTGGTCCCCCTTACTGATGAACAATATAAGGTAGCCTCTGGTCCACCTACCGATGCACAATATAAGGTGACCTCTGGTCCCCTTCTGATGTTCAATTAAATGTGACCTCTGGTCCCCCTACTGATACACAATAAAAAATGGCCTCAGGTCCCCCTACTGATGTGCAATATAAGATGTCCTCTGGTCCCCTTTTAATGTACAATGTAAGGTGACCTCTGGTCCCCCTGCCAATGTACAATATAACGTGACCCCTGGTATCCCTGCTGATGATCAATATGACAAGACCTCTCATCTCCTTACTGATGTACAATATAAGGTGACCTCTAGTCCCCCTTCTGGAGTGAAATATAAGGTGACCTCTGGTCCCCCTTTTGATGTACAATATAAAGTGGTCTCTGGTCCCCCTACTGATGTACAATATAAGATGACCTCTGGTCCTCCTTCTGATTTTAAATATAAGGTGACCCTCGTCCCCCTGCTGATATATAATATATAATGTGACCTCTAGTTCCTCTGCTGATGTACAATATAAGGTTACCTCTGGACCCTTTTTCTGTTGTTAGATATAAGGTGACCTCTGGTCCCATTTACTGATGAACAATATAAGGTAGCCTCTGGTCCCCCTACCGATGCACAATATAAGGTGACCTCTGGTCCCCCTACCGATGCACAATATTAGGTGACCTCGGGTCCCCTTCTGATGTTCAATTAAAGGTGACCTCTGGTCCTCCTACTGATATACAATAAAAAAAATGGCCCCAGGTCCCCCTACTGATGTACAATATTAGATGTCCTCTGGTCCCATTTTAATGTACAATGTAAGGTGACCTCTAGTCCCCCTGCCAATGTACAATACCGGTATAACGTGACCCCTGGTATCCCTGCTGATGATCAATATGACAAGACCTCTCATCCCCTTACTGATGTACAATATAAGGTGACCTCTAGTCCCCCTTCTGGAGTTAAATATAAGGTGACCTCTGGTCCCCCTTTTGATGTACAGTATAAAGTGGTATCTTGTCCCCCTACTGATGTACAATATAAGATGACCTCTGGTCACCATTCTGATTTTAAATATAAGCTGGCCTCAGGTCCCCCTTTTGATGTACAATATAAGATGACCTCTTGTCCCCCTTCTGAATTTAAATATAAGGTGACCCCTGGTCCCCCTGCAGGTATACAGTAAAGAGTGGCCTCTGGTCCCTCTACTGATGTATAATATAAGGCAACCTCTGGTCCCCCTTCTGATGTGAGATATAAAGTGACCTCTGGTCCCCCTTCTGTTGTTAGATATAAAGTGACCTCTGGTCCCCCTTACCGATGAATAATATAAGGTAGCCTCTGGCCCCCCTACCGATGCACAATATAAGGTGACCTCTGGTCCCTTTTCTGATGTTCAATATAAAGTGACCTTTGGTCCCCCTGCGGATGTACAATATAAGCTGACCTCGGGTCATCCTACTGATGTTAAATATAAGGTGACCTCTGGTCCCCTTACTTATGTATAATATAAGGTGACCTCTGGCCCCCCTACTTATGTACAATATAAGCTGACCTCTGGTCCTTCTGCTGATGAACAATATAAGATGACCTCTGGTCTTACTACTGATGTACAATATTAGGTGTCCTCTGGTCCCCTTATTGATGTTCAATATAAGGTGACCTATGATCCCTCTACTGATGTACAGTAAAATATTAGGTGACCACTAGTCTCCGTACTAATGAAAAATATCAGATGACGTCTGGTCCCCGTACTGATTTACAATGTAAGGTGTCCTCTGGTCACCCTACTGATGTACAATATAAGGTGAACCCTGGTACAACTGCTGATGATCAATATAAAGTGACCTCTCATCCCCTTACTGATGTACAATATAAGGTGACCTCTAGTCCCCTTTCTTGTGTTAAATATAAGGTGTCCTCTGGTCCCGCTACAGATGTACCTTACAATATTAGGTGACCACTATTCCCCGTACAATATAAAATGACGTCTGGTCATCCTTCTGGTGTTAAGTATAAGGTGACCTCTGGTCCCCCTACTGATGTACAGTTAAAGGTGACCTAAGGTACCCCTGCTGATGTACAAATATAACTTCTGGTCATCCTTCTGATGTTTAATCTAAGGTGACCTCTGGTCCCCCTACTTATATACAATATAAAGTGACTTCTGGTTCCCCCTACTAATGTTCAATATTAGGTGAACTCTGTTTCTCCTACTGATGTACAATATAAGGTGACCTCTGGTCCCCCTACTGATGTACAATATAAGGTGTCCTCCAGTCCCCCTACTGATGTACAATATAAAATGTCCTCTGGTTCCCTTATTGGTGTACAATATAAGGTGACCTCTGGCCCCTCTACTGATGTACAGTACAATATAAGGTGACCACTAGCCCCCTTATTAATGTTAAATATCGGGTGACCTTTGGTCCCGTAATGATGTACAAAATAAGGTGTCCTCTGGTCCCCCTACTGATGTACAATAAAAGGTGACACCTTTGCCCCCACTGATGTATAAGGTGTCCTCTGGTCCACCTAGAGATGTATAGTATAAGGTGTCCTCTGGTCCCCCGACTACAAGAGAGGACCTCAGGTCCTTCTGCTGATGTACAATATAAGATGACCTCTGGTCCTACTACTAATGTAAAAAATAAGGTGTCCTCTGGTCCCGCTACAGATGTACAATACAATATTAGGTGACCACTAGTCCCCGTACAATATAAAGTAACCTCTTGTCCTTCTGCTGATGTACAATATACGATGACTTCTGGTTTTACTACTGATGTACAATATAAGGTGACCTCTAGTCTCTCTACTGATATACAGTACAATTTTTACTTGACCAATAGTTCCCGTACTAATGTAAAATATCGGGTGACCTCTGGTCCCCCGTATTGATGCACAATATAAGGTGTCCTCTGGTCCCTCTACTTAGGTACAGTACAATATTAGGTTACCTGTAGTCCCCCTACTGATGTACATTATAGGGTGACCTCTGGTCCCCCAAATGATGTACTATAAGGTATCCCCAGGTCCCCCTATTATTTGCAATAAAAGATTACCTTTGGACCCCTATTGATTTAAAATGTGACCTATGATCCCTGTGATGATGTTAAATATAAAGTGACAACTGGTCTCCCTAATGGTGTATAATATAAGGTGGTCTCTGGTCCCCCTACTGATGTACAATGTAAGGTGATCTTTTGTCCCCCTATTGATGTAAAATATTAGGTTACCTCTGGTCACCCATTATTATTTTCACGTTTCTGTTAATATATATATTAGAAAGTTGATCTTTATAAAGTTATAAATATGATTACTTTGGAGTAAGACAAAGAAAATTGTCTATCATATAAAATTCAATTAATATATTAGGTGACCTGAGGTCTCCGTATTGATGATATCGATGAATTTACTTTTGTGCCTTTAATGCCTGGAGAGTTCCTAGAATGTTTTATTACTACGCAAAATGACGAACTATTTGCGGGGGACCCCAGGTCCTATTTCAGCGTACGTTTTATCCTTCTGCTCTTGTTTCGTGAAGAAATCTTGAAAACAGAAAAACATCTGTGAGCAGAAAATATGGCTGTTGACCAAGCAACGGTGTATTTAGTTATGATGGCGATTGTAGGCATAATCATGTTACTTGCCTCGATATTCTGCAAAGATAACAGTAAAGGTACATGAATAATCGTATTGAACTAAATATGACACCAAAAGTGTCAAGACGTCAGAAGTCAAAAGTTTAGAAACTTGTCTCATTTATTGGGATGATTGTTTATTTTATGTATGTATTCATTATTTGATAGTTATTCATGAGATAAGAAATTCTAATGGATAATTTCATAACCTTTACTCTGTAATCTGAAATATGATATTTAATTTCCTCTGGCTTTTTATTTTATACCTAATGTGTATCACTCAATTTTACCGTTGATTTTACGCTATCACGTGATGTCGTGATCTGACTTTCAGACACTGGTTTTCTGAATCCATATCACCATTTTCTGAAACTGATGACGTAGTACGCAGAAACATGACATTATTTTTCTCGCGTGTCAAAAAGTCTATTGTTTTATGCTTTGTTTTATGGATAAAAATTATACAATTGATCTCTTAAGTTTTATTTCGCTATATTTTGCTAGTTATAAGGGGGTATATAATAAATTTATCATTATAACAGTACCTTGATCCGAAAAGCTGTATCACGTCCGGTTGACAGGCACAGATCACGCATGATCCGCGCCTTTGTCAACTCTATACAATTATTGACTTTTGATGAGGTCTACTCGTGACTATACACCAATACCTGACCAGGTCTGTATAGTCACGAGTAGACCGAATTCAAAAGTCAATAACTGTTTTATTAAATGATCAGGAATTTTGACACTTTTAATCTTGTCTCCATCAAATAAAAAACACCTGGCCTATCAAATTATCAACGAGTAGTTAAAAGTTGGAAAAAAAAAAAATATTATTAAACAATAAATACTCAACCATTTACTTTCAAGAGCATTTAATCTCCTTGGTACTGGCGTCTGACATGTTTACATTCACACCAACACATGCTTTGAAACATGCAATCTGATTGGTTGAAAAAACTGTAAGCAAATCTATGGTTGGTCAAGAGGGAAAACCGGAATAAACCTCCCAGAACGTCATATGAGGTGAACTCACTCTGAGGTACATCAAAGGAAAAGGCTTCTAGACCAATCAGAGAGCACCAAAATTCCTGATCATTTAATAATACGTGATACGACCCTTTGGATCAAGTTACTGTTATAATAATATTTATTATATAGTCTATTTATATTTCCTATATAATCTATACAAACGCAGACAGTTCATAACACTACATATTCACCGGATTTTAGGCCGTATTCACTGGAGGGTCAATGCGTGTGCAACGGCATTGTGACGGTACAATCAAAACATCAAACAACGTTGTAAACAACGGTTGCAACGGCCGCAGTGAGCTACATATCTCAGCAGGAAAACAATTATTCAAACATATTTTAGGATTTTTTTTTAATGTTTGGACGTCTTACACATAGCAAAACTCGGAATGGAAAACACGGAAGTTACAAACAGTAATCTGGAGATATTTATTTATTTTCAACAATGTAAGATCGCAAATGAAAATGGTGTCGTCATACAGCCTTCAATATCTTATCTATTCAAATCCCGACTGTATAATAAAACAATTATGGACTCTTCTGGTGTTGAATATGGTTTGTTATTCACCAGAAAAATATCCACATTGACCTCGGCTTCGCCTTGGTCAATATGAATGTTTTTCTGGTGAATAACAAACCATATTCAACACCAGAAGAGTCCATAATTGTATAATATTTATATATTATAAATCTAATATAGATAAATTTTGTTGTAATTTAAACAAAAAGAAAAAATATGAATTCTAAAATACTTTTTAAACTAACAATGCACAATATACATCAATTAAAATGGCAGGCAGACTTTTCAGTGCCTGAGTAAAGGTGTAAATTCGAAGCTATTTTATGTTGACATCTCTATTTGAGTGAAAAATTCTCAAATGGGACGTAAAACAATCATGCAATCAATTTAATTCTAGGAAAGCGTGGAGAGAGAGATGGAGGGAGACAGCCAGCAGCCAGGGCTAGAGATGAGAATCTCCCTGCGGGGGTCAGAAGGAGGGGGAGAAGAAACAGAATGGCCAATCGAGGGGACGAGTCTGGTAATACTAATAGTTACTGTAATTCATTGCATCTGATTAGTGACTACTGTAAACCAACTTTTATTCACGTGTGAAAAATTTTCGCGAGATTCGCAAGAGCCTCGTCATCGCGAATATTTCTCGCCGCGAACCGGTCCTAAAGGCCTCTGCGTCTATTAATAACAGATCCAAAAATGCTTGATCGCGAAAATTAATCGTAGCGAACAAGTTTACACTAGGTTAATCGCGAAATAAAGTCGTCGCGAATAAAAGTTGGTTTACAGTATTTAGGCCAATTGAGGGGACAAGTCTGGTAATAGTATTAGAAATTCATAGCATCGGATTAGTGGCTGCTTTTGCCAATCAAATGATAATGATTTACGTAAACATGCAAAGAAGAGAAAACATCTTTCCAACAAGTAGGACTAAGCACTTCACAAAGTTTTATTCTTAGAAAAACATCAGACAATGAAGGAAACATTTTATTGGATTTAAAGATGAATTTGTTCCTGAATCTTAATATTATGCAGATGAGGATGATTTGCCCAACGACCCTGATGAATTTAATCCATTTGAGGATTTTGAGGGAGAAGAGAAGAAGATCGGAAAGAAGAAGATGTTGAAGCTGCAGGCCAAGGAGGAGAGAAAACAGCAGCGATTGGTAAATATTCCAAAACTAACTCAATCTTGGTCTAGTTTATACCTTAAACTTTGAGCAACAGGATAAAAATGACACTCAAGTGATGTGTTCATTTTCTATTTCACAATATCAAAATTAACTAAAGGAAAACATATCAAGGCAGTTATTAAAGTGATTAATTATAAGGGAAAAAAAATTGATAAAAAAAACACGATCCAGGCAGGTATTAAAGTGATTATTTAATAATAAGAGAAAAAAAACTCCTTTATTGTGTATATTATGGAAATTGACAAAAATTCAATGTTATTCAGGCATCTTCTCTATAATATCCACTTATTATGAAAATTT